TATATATATATATATATATATATACATACATATAGTTATGTATTTTCTGTGTGATATAAGCATTTAAGTGTACTATAGTAGCTAATCCATCAATTGGGAGCCTCACTTAAAGAATTCAAATCACATTCTTCGAAGGATTTTTATAAAATTTTGAAGAAGTCAAAAGCAATAAGTGTAAGGAAAACAAACAAAATAAAATAAAAAATATAAATTTGATCCCAAACAGCTTATATATATCTCAAAGATTTACTTTAAAATATCATCCTTTTTCAAAAGATCACAAAATCATGCTTGATAAGCCATTAAAAAATTTCCATCATGCAACACCAATCTAGAGGCATGACGCGACAAATCTTTTGAGCAAGTATTCAAACTTCATTTAAGAGTCATTCGGAGCTCTGATTTTAGTAAAGTTACTATAAAACTGAGCCACTCAACAAAACAGAACCAATGATACTAAAATTAGTCTAATCTGAGTCAAATCAAGCCCAGATGAAGAGAGTAAATACCTTATGTAAGATTTTTGGGCATGTTTGGTACGTTAGATGCAATCCACATTGGGTACGATGGTATGGATGGTACCATGTCACTTAAACTCCAACGTGACTCCGGCGTGTAAATTTCGGACCTAATATTTTCACACATTCAGACGGCTAATATAATATTTTGTTCCTATCGTGATAATGGCTGGCAACAACAAGAATGAATGATATGAAATGATGATATTATGATTTGAATGATGTTGGTGATGATTTAGTTATTCCTTTGATGTAGTTTTGATATGATTATCACTCTAGTTTTTTAACATTGTTATAAACACACTAATTTTAATATGTTCATACATCTAACGCCTAAACTTTAATATTTACATGCATAACATTCAAATCACATAAAGAATATCACTACACATTTTCATGCATAGATTTATATGACATCAAAGTGTTATTAAAATCAATATAAAATTTTAAATGTTAAATATATTAATACAAATCACATTTCTTGTTTGTTTACACATCAAGCATCTAAATTTTTATATTTACATGTATAACACTGAAGTTTCCGATATCAAATAAAAAAATATCATTATGACTAGGCTTTTTTTAAGGGGGAAATATATTTTTTCTTAAATAAATTCTCATGATTCTATATATCTAACATCTAAACATTCAGATTTAAATGCATACCACTCAAATCTTTCAAAAATACCATCATCCCATTCATATTTACATGCATATCACTCAAATCTTTCAAAAATACCATCACCCGTACACTTTTAAAAGTGTGAAAATCAAACTTTGGTTGTTAAAGATGCAAAAACATAAAAATTGTGTGGTAAATCATAACCAATTTAACACCGACCGCATACTTAATACACCTAAAACACTAGGATTACAACCCAAGCAGAGCAACATAACATCTGGGCGGACCAAGTGAGTGAACTTTACCTTCTTGGATTGAAAAATGTAGTAGATCCACCGATGAAAACAGCGACCAGGAGAATTAAAAGGGCAATTTAAAGATTAAAGTTGAAATATTTTGACTTTTTCAATGGTATCGAAGGGGTTTTGTTCTTTGGTTCTCCATTGGAAGATATGGGATTTCCACGGACCACATCCCAGAATGATGAAGCTATTGGAGGCTCAGCTTCAGTTTCCAGCTCCAGCAACCCAATAGATTCTGCAGGAGCTTCCATCGACAACAATTCCCGGCAGCGGTCTTTCACGTCCTAGTGACAATGGCCAGATTGTTCATGAGGTTAGTTTAATGGAATAATTAGACTTTACCTTTTACATATCCAAATCTTTCATATCTAAAATATGACTATTTTAACTTTTAAACAGTGAAATATACCTTTTTGAGCATATGTAATGTGGCATATATAGAAACATTAAACTTTAGGAGTTAGATATGTAGAATACTGGCTGATCATATTAGCACCAAAGGACATAAACTTTAGGAGTTAGATATGTAAATACATAAGAATAGAGCGGTCTCTATGTAGATCTTCCTAATATAAATATACAAATTATAAGAGAATACTGGCTGATCATATTAGCACCAAAGGACATTGAAATAAAATGAGGTTGCATAAACAAAGATAGATTTATAACTGCACTCAAAAGAAAAATACACTAAAAAATAAAGTTTGAAGTTACATGCCAATTTAAACTATTAGAGAGATACCGATACAATGTTTACAGCAAAAGGAAAGATCGATTTAACTAATGTGACAGGGCTGTGGTGGCGTTTGAGGGAATCTGCCTTGTGTAACAAGGGTTAGATGATTAGAAACAGACCAGACGATGAGATCTTGCAGTGCATACATTGCTAACGATACGAAACGGAACAGGATCGATCGTAAAAGCTGATGAGGGGTGTCAGAAATGTTATAATGAAATTGGTTCATCTGGATTGACCGACACAAATATTTGAAACACCAAAAGAACCAACAAATTTTTTGATAAATAATATCAAGAATAGCTTCAGCCTTTGAGGATAGATCCTCGAGCATCGATGGACAAACCATCCAAAGAATTCATGAATCTTGACTTCAAATTCTTTCTTATTTATCATATTCTGCAATGAATTAGCAAATCTATAAGCACTAAAAAAGAAACATAAGCTCTTGGACCACTGTGACTCTCCCTTATTCAATTCAAAAGAAAAAGTGGAGGCATTTTGCTTTCTTTAGCCACCACCATATTTATCATCATCAATAGCTTTATCTCAACTATTTGAGATTAACGTTACTAATCCTTCAATCATTTTCGTTTCGTGCTTCATTAGAAGTTAGCTCACTTTATATTGATTTTTTTTTTCATAAAATTTAGCTAATTTATCTTTATTCAAATCATTTTCATTCCCAATCCTTCCTCTAATTCTCTCATCTTCCTGTTGTATTTTCTATCTTTTCATTAAAAGACGCTAAATCATTTAAAGTGCATTCCCTTCTATCATATATTCAATTGACAACACTCTAAGTTTCTCTTAAATAGCCACTCTCCACACAATCCTTCATAGATTTTCCATGCGTCTATTTTAACATTCCCATTCAAGCACAATAAACTTGCTATCAAAATTTTATTTATGCCAAAAACTTATAATCCATGAATCATAGCTACTCCAATATCAATTTTATAAATTTACTTGCAATTGATTTGGAGCACTATTTTGTTTAATCAACCAATCTGAATGACATCCAACCAATACTTTGATTGATAAGTGTAGAAAACATAGAATAAAAAATAGCGGGATTGCATTTGATTGAGTCGGTACCATTCAATCCAGAAGTTATGTCCTTGTTGACAACATTCAGTATTGTGCACTAAAGCTCATGACATGGCCGTTACGCATCATGTACCGTTAAGATGGCAATGAGTAGACATACCACAAAGCACTTGATAATTGTGGTTTATACAAATTATGGTGTGAAGTGCATAGCATGGAAAGTGCATGTTATCATGAATTGGATGGAGGATTAACTGAAATTAAATGATGAGTCAAACGAAGAATATGAATAAGTATTTGATAAGGAATAATCGGAATGAAGTACTATTGAAAGAGTTAGTGGTGTCCATGAAAGAAACTATAATATTTGAGAGCGATCTAATTAGAAATAAATTTAATCTAGGACTAGAACAATTTGAAGATAAGGATGGTGAAGAAGATAATATTGTAGGAGATGATGTTGATCAAGAACATAAGATTACTTTAAGTATGATAATGATGGTGGAAATTTGAGGATGATTATTTGTAGAATTTCAATGTAGGATTTATAATTAAACTACTAAACTATTACTCAAGTTTTAAGAATATATATTGTATCGAGAATTGATTCTCTATTTTTAAGAAAACCTAAGTTTTACAGGTTAGTGGTTGTTCTAAAATTGTGTATTTCTACATCTATGAAAACCTAACCATGCAAAAAACTAAATAATATTATGCTTAAGTTATGTGATTTTTTTTTTAATTTCTCATA